GCTAATGAAGAGAGCAACACAGTTGAAAAAGCATGAGTGAGGGGAAAGGGCAGTGATCCAGCCGCTGTAACACTCACACTGCATCACTGTCAGCAGAACCACCTGAAACAATGCACACACACACACACACACACACACACACACACACACACACACAAAGTCCATCTGGTCTTCAAGCTACACTGCTCTAAATCATGCCAAAACCTGTGGCAGACTGGCATGAGCTGTAAGGGAGAGAAAGAGTGAGAGTCTATAGGGGGGTGCCAGGCGGCGGGCAGAGGCCACAGCTCCAGGGCTGCAGCTGAGGTCCCATGGGCAAGAACACAGACCGATGGAGGGGGACAGGGGGCTGGGGGCGTGACAGTTTTGAGCTCCCTCGGGGTAATCGGGTTTCTGCTTGCCCACCCCTCTTCCCCTCCTTTTAATACGCCAAAGCCATGATAATGCGAACAGATGAGACCCGAGAGGGCATTTACGGACAACACAAGAGGAATGTACATTGTTTTAAAAAAAAGAGTTTTTAACATTAAAAAAATCAGTTTGACACTTTCAAGTCCACACTAAATATTTTCCAGTTTACGGGACCTTTGAGCCACAAAAAAATGTGAATTACTTGAAACTACATAAAAAACCATGTTAGACCAACAGAATTCCCCAAAATGCTGTTCTGACTAGTCTAAAAAACAGTTACGATAACAATTAAAGAACTTACATTTTGAATATATCAAGCTGCATTCAAATTTTTAATTTTCTCAAGAATTCTTTTTTTACATTGAACTTAAAAAAATGGTAGGATTTACTTAGAAACTATTTTTACTCAGAAATTGCTAGTCAATTTTACAAATAATTACAAAGAAATAGCAGGTAACACATTGAATTAAATGTGAACTTTTGAAGTAGAAAGACGGAAATAATATTTTATAGTAAAATTTACTCCAATAATCTTTTAATTAATTTAAAAAATATATATTTTACAGTATGTTAATTTCATGTCTTTTTGCTTAATATTTTAAGACATCTTAAGAAATTTACTTTATTTACCTAAATGTATATATAGTTTTACCATAATTTACTATTTTTACTTTTAATCATTTTTATTTCAACCATGACTTCAAACAACAACCTAACACTATAACAGTTACACATTTAGATTAAGGTTATTGATAAAAAATTCACAGATTAATTGTTACATAACAATACGATCTGTAACATGCATTTAGAAAATAAATCAGGTTTTAATAGTTTTAATTTCATGCCAACTTTAATAGTGGTGTTTTGTTTGTGAACGAATAATGTAGGCGAAAGAATCATAAAGTGTTCTTTTCAAGAGCAGAACCTTTGTAAGAATGAAAGTGTTTTGTTCTGTTACAATGTATTTCATTGGATTCAGTCTATCAAATTCCTCTCTCATTCTAAATCATCTTTAATATAAAAGCTCATCTCAGCATGTCCAAAGCTTGACGACCTGTCAATCCAGCACTGGTGGCATGGCAACAGATCTCCCAATGGGAAAGGGAATTAAACCTAATTGCGCCTGATTGGCTCCTGCCGACTCCTGATTAAGTAGCAACTCCTCTATTAGCATAGTCGCGGGGGAAGAAGCATCTTAAATGACCTGTAGCGTCGGACATGGCAAGGATTAAACAGCCTACAGCAATCAGCTCTCTAGCGAAGGAGATAAAATCCATCAAACAAACAGAGATCTGTTACGAATACAGTTTTCTACTGTTTTACAAGAGTAAACAGCAGAGAAGAGACATTAAATTATTCAGAGATAAAAAAGGGAATGGAATGAGTAGAATACAGGCATAAAAATGGAATTTACTGATAAAATTGTTACATTTTATGAATTCGGGAAAAATAAATTAAACAGATTTCATAGTGTCCTAGATGAGCGAGCGCACAATGCAGGCCAGATTCAAACCTGTGCTTCCCATATGAGCACCAAGGCTCAATGTGTCTGTGTACCACTAGGCCACTAGTGCTTACAAGCATATGTGTGTGCAGTTGTGTGAGACTTTATGTTTCTTACCTGGTTTTCCAGTGACCAGGATGTTTTTAGCCACTCTGGCTTTGTCCTCTGAGTTGCGAGCCCAGTCCACCATCCCCCTCCACCCCTTCATGGGGAAAGTGATATCTGCATTTCCTGCGACAGGCCGCTTGTGAATACTCAACACTGGAGAGAGAATCCAGAGGGAACTGTAAGATCCATGGCAACACCAATATCCTGACTCACTGCACAGCGATCACATCTCAACTAGAGAAAGTGTCATGCTGTCAGATGACTCCCCCATACAAACTCTCTCAGCTCAAACGCTTTCATTCTCTTATGATCTCAGCCTTCTGCTGCCAGCCATATTCTCTGTACCACTTCACGACGACAGCATTTTAATCACTGAATGAATTCCCGAAACTTGCAAAAGAAGCATTTTTATTTATGAAACTCGAAAAATAAATCAGTGCAAATCTTTTATAAAGCTATTTGTACTTTTCACATCAATGTGATGGAACAATTTACATACCAATGGTTTTACGTATGATTTATACAGAAATTTGCACTGCCTGTGTTTCAAAACTTTCAAACTAAGTAACCAACTAATTAATCTCGGCTTCAGAACTGATACAGGGCCTACATAATGTTAGACATCATGTTTTTCTTCTACTATATAAATACAGTAACTAACTGGGTAGTTTCACTTTTTCGACAGACAGTACAGAGGAAATATATTTCAAATAAAAAAAAAATATTTTAAACTTCCTATTCATTAAAAAATACTGAAAATGTTAACACAGTATCCACAAAAATATTAAGCAGCTCAACTGTTTTCAACACTGATAATAACCAGAAATTCTTATTGAGCAACAAATCGTCCGTTTTCTGAAGGATCATGTGCTGAAAATTCAGCTTTGCCATCACAGGAATAAATTACATTTTAAAATATATTAAAGTAGAAAACAGTTATTTTAAATTGTAATATTTCACAAAATTATTGTTTTAACCACTAGGCCATGGCCCTGACATCACATTTGTGACCCTGGACCACAAAACCAGTCATAAGTAGCACAGGTATAACAACACATTGTATGGATCAAAATGATCAAATGTACTTTTACGCCAAAATAATTAGGATATTAAGTAATGATCATGTTCCATGAAGATATTTTGTAAATTTCCTACCATAAATATATCAAAACGTAATTTTTGATTAGTAATATGCATTGCTAAGAACTTCATTTGGACAACTTTAAAAGTCGATTTTCTCAATATTTTGATTTTTTGCATCCTCAGATTCCAGATTTTCAAATAGTTGCATCTCGACCAAATATTGTCCTATCCTAACAAACCATACATCAATGGAAAGCTTTCAGATGGTGTATAAATCTCATTTTCAGTGAATTGACCCTTATGACTGGTTTTGTGGTCCTGGGTCACATTTTTGCATCGAAATCTAGGTTGCAGCAGAGACATTAAATTACTTGGTGAAAAAGAAGGGAACTGGCAGGCCAGATTTGATCAATGTACGTGTGTGCTAATTGTTACTAACTCTGTACAGTACTATTCATGTTCTTAAGTTCAAGTTCTTGTTCATTATTTTCCATCTATTGATGAATGTGTGGTGTTACATATACATCTGCGTCTCAAAGCTTTGTGTGGGACTGATAGGTCATTGCTGTAGGACAGGTGTCGTCACAAAGGGAGAATCTGAGCTCATGGGCAGCTCAGTGATTCAGAGGTAAACAGAACCTCTCACACCCCCTTTTAAACTCTTTCAGCTGCAGCCCACAACGTATGACCATGAAGGTTCATCTTCCCGCTGTTTTTACGAACCTGGGTGCTGAGTAGTCCGTTCTGTATGCAGGAGAGATGTGCGTGGTTTAGAGTGTGATTCCAAAGCTATAAAAATGCCTAGAGCTATACATATTTGGAAATCAGTTTGAGCAACATATCAGATTAATTGCTCGGGGATTGGTCATGATTTCCAGAGGGATATTGTCTGTTACTGCATTCTGATGAATATGAAAATGTTCAAGGTGTGTGAAAGTGTGTGTGAGTAATAGTGCTGGTGGTGATTTCAGCTGGTCATCTGTTTCAGCACCATCAAAAGCCTAAATTGATTTTAATTAAACAAATTATATACACTATCGTTCAAAAGTTTGGGATCAGTAAGATTTTTAATGTTTTTAAATTAATATTTTAATTTTGTAAAATATTATTGCAATTTAAAATAACAGTTTCTATTTTAATATACTTGAAAATATAATTTATTCCTGTAAAGCAAATTCATTCTCTTCATCCATTACTCCAGTCTTCAGTGTCACATGATCCTTCAGAAATCATTCTAATATGCTGATTTATTATCAATGTTGGAAACAGTAAAAAAAAAATATTTTAAACTTCCTATTCATTAAAAAATACTGAAAATGTTAACACAGTATCCACAAAAATATTAAGCAGCTCAACTGTTTTCAACACTGATAATAACCAGAAATTCTTATTGAGCAACAAATCGTCCGTTTTCTGAAGGATCATGTGCTGAAAATTCAGCTTTGCCATCACAGGAATAAATTACATTTTAAAATATATTAAAGTAGAAAACAGTTATTTTAAATTGTAATATTTCACAAAATTATTGTTTTAACCACTAGGCCATGGCCCTGACATCACATTTGTGACCCTGGACCACAAAACCAGTCATAAGTAGCACAGGTATAACAACACATTGTATGGATCAAAATGATCAAATGTACTTTTACGCCAAAATAATTAGGATATTAAGTAATGATCATGTTCCATGAAGATATTTTGTAAATTTCCTACCATAAATATATCAAAACGTAATTTTTGATTAGTAATATGCATTGCTAAGAACTTCATTTGGACAACTTTAAAAGTCGATTTTCTCAATATTTTGATTTTTTGCATCCTCAGATTCCAGATTTTCAAATAGTTGCATCTCGACCAAATATTGTCCTATCCTAACAAACCATACATCAATGGAAAGCTTTCAGATGGTGTATAAATCTCATTTTCAGTGAATTGACCCTTATGACTGGTTTTGTGGTCCTGGGTCACATTTTTGCATCGAAATCTAGGTTGCAGCAGAGACATTAAATTACTTGGTGAAAAAGAAGGGAACTGGCAGGCCAGATTTGATCAATGTACGTGTGTGCTAATTGTTACTAACTCTGTACAGTACTATTCATGTTCTTAAGTTCAAGTTCTTGTTCATTATTTTCCATCTATTGATGAATGTGTGGTGTTACATATACATCTGCGTCTCAAAGCTTTGTGTGGGACTGATAGGTCATTGCTGTAGGACAGGTGTCGTCACAAAGGGAGAATCTGAGCTCATGGGCAGCTCAGTGATTCAGAGGTAAACAGAACCTCTCACACCCCCTTTTAAACTCTTTCAGCTGCAGCCCACAACGTATGACCATGAAGGTTCATCTTCCCGCTGTTTTTACGAACCTGGGTGCTGAGTAGTCCGTTCTGTATGCAGGAGAGATGTGCGTGGTTTAGAGTGTGATTCCAAAGCTATAAAAATGCCTAGAGCTATACATATTTGGAAATCAGTTTGAGCAACATATCAGATTAATTGCTCGGGGATTGGTCATGATTTCCAGAGGGATATTGTCTGTTACTGCATTCTGATGAATATGAAAATGTTCAAGGTGTGTGAAAGTGTGTGTGAGTAATAGTGCTGGTGGTGATTTCAGCTGGTCATCTGTTTCAGCACCATCAAAAGCCTAAATTGATTTTAATTAAACAAATTATATACACTATCGTTCAAAAGTTTGGGATCAGTAAGATTTTTAATGTTTTTAAATTAATATTTTAATTTTGTAAAATATTATTGCAATTTAAAATAACAGTTTCTATTTTAATATACTTGAAAATATAATTTATTCCTGTAAAGCAAATTCATTCTCTTCATCCATTACTCCAGTCTTCAGTGTCACATGATCCTTCAGAAATCATTCTAATATGCTGATTTATTATCAATGTTGGAAACAGTTTTTGCTGCTTTATATTTTTTTTGGAACCTGTGATACTTTTTTTCAGGATACTTTTATGGATAAAAAATGAAAAAGAACAGCATTTATTCAAAATAGAAATATTGTGTTACAATATACCACCGTTCAAAAGGTTGGGGTCAAAAATGTTTCTTTCTTTTGTGAATACTTTTATTCAGCAAGGATGTGTTAAATGGATATAAAAAGTGACAGTAAAGACTTATATTGTTAGAAAATATTTCTATTTTAAATAAATGCTGTTCTTTTAAACTTTTTATTCATCAAAGAATCCTGAAAAAAGTATCACAGGTTATAAAAAAAATATTAAGCAGCACAACTGTGTTCAACAATGATAATACATAAGCATATCACGATTTCTGAAGGATCATGTGACACTGAAGACTGGAGTAATGATGCTGAAAATTCAGCTTTGCATCACAGAAATAAATTGTATTTTGAAGTATATTGAAACAGAAAACCAATATTAAAAACCGAAATAATATTTCACAATATTACTTTTTTTTTCAGTATTTTTGATCAAATAAATACAGCCTTTATGAGCGTAAGAGACATTTAAAAATCGTACAGATTTTTTTAAATCTGACAAACATTTCAATGCCATTGTGTGTCTTTGTGTATATATATATATATATATATATATATATATACAGTATATATATATATATATATATACACCGAACAAAATTATAAATGCAACACTTTTGTTTTTGCCCCCATTTTTCATGAGCTGAACTCAAAGATCTAAGACTTTTTCTATGTACACAAAAGGCCTATTTCTCTCAAATATTGTTCACACATTTTAGAGTGGCCTTTTATTGTGGCCAGCCTAAGGCACACCTGTGCAATAATCATGCTGTCTAATCAGCATCTTGATATGCCACACCTGTGAGGTGGATGGATTATCTCAGCAAAGTGCTCACTAACACAGATTTAGACAGATTTGTGAACAATATTTGAGAGAAATAGGCCTTTTGTGTACATAGAAAAAGTATTTTCTATGTAAGCGTTTATAAACTAAGCGTTTATAATTTTGTTCAGTGTATATATATATATATGCTAGGTGCACTGCGTTAGTCTAACTGAGACTTGTCATAGCACTTGCATATCATTGCTCTTTTGTTGATATTGATTGCTTCCATTGTCCTCATTTGTAAGTCGCTTTGGATAAAAGCATCTGCTTAATGAATAAATGTAAATGTAAATGTAAATATATATAGGTGATTTTGTGATGTTGTAATTAAAAGCACAAGCACAAAAAAGATTAAAGCCATTTAAAACTATGAGAAAGGGTCATAGGTAATCACCCATGAAGATTTATATACATCACCACACTTTGAATGATTAAAAATGCCTTTTAAAAGACCTTTCCACAGTATTGGACACCATTCACCAGATGGTTTATTACATTTCAGTACAATTTGCTTCATGTTCTCCAGTTCTTTTTTGGATTTGTAGCTTCAACTTCTAGGCTGCCTGTCCAAACATTCAACCAATTAAGTACATGACCATCACCCTCTGACATTATTGCAGAGGTGTAAACTGAACTAAATGTCAGTGGAAACTGACCCAGATTGTCGGTGACCTCATAAGTATCCTGGAAGTCCTTCATGCGGAGACTGATGACATCCACAAAGTCCTCCACTAAACGAAAAAGCTCCTTAACATTGGGCCCAAGCTGCCAGAAAGAAAAACATAGCTTCATGTTAAAAAGTTTGTTCGTTCTTCTTTCAATATGTGATTCTGTAAGTGGATTTGAAATGTTATTGTAATAAATATGAGATTTTTCTAAAAATAACTGCTGCTGCTCAAGCTTAATGATATCCTTGCTTCAGAATGTAAACTGAAGCTTGCGTTAAGACATACATTGTAAACTAACTAATGATCTAACTAAACAGCAGGAGACAAACAGCTGAAAGAAAGATGTGCAGCGAAGAGAAGAGAATTAGCCAATTAATCACCTTTAAAACCAGCTGAAACTTGCATAATTACTAAATGAAAGAGAGTTAGATGATGCCAACATTAAAAGAGGGAATGAGAGAATGATGAATGAGTGAGTGGAAGAATGAATGAGTGAATGAATAAACACACAGACATGGAGAGAGAGAGTGAAGGCTGACTCACCAGCTGTGCTTCCTCCCACCTCTCTCTGTTTTCCTCCATCAGTAAGTTACTCACTGATTGCACAAAATTCTGTGAACAAAACCACATGACAGAGAAACATTCAGGGGCATTCTGGGTCAAAACTGTTTTTTTTTTATTTAGAACTAAGCAAATAATGCTTCACTAACCCTCATGTCTGCATTACTGGGGCTGTAGTAGGACCTCCTAAATATCTCTGTCATGTTTTTCAGTACGTCCATGATAGCCAGAAGGTCTCCGCTGTAGCTTGTTCCATCACTTGACGTCACCCTCAGCTTGGTCATGACTTCAGAGACCCCGTCTCCCACAAGCCCTCGTTGAGCCTTGGACAGATGATCTCTGGTCTTGAGTAGGTAAAACAAATCAACCTTCGCTTTGCAGACACTTTTACTAGCTAGAGCTTAGTTTGGACATCACCTACCAATGTTTGGATACTTCGGTAATCATTTGAGATGCATTTAATGTACGTTGGGTTCTCCCAGTATGCAATGCCTTCATCATCCAACGAACATCGCCGAAGAATTAGTCCTGCATCACAGAAATGGGTCGTCATTACCAGATTTTGAACAAGGATCGGTTAAAAACTGTATACTGCATGTTGTCTTGTTGGTTTTCTTTTTTAAACCAAGCTTGTGGAGCTGTCCATGGTTCTGAAAATGTCTCAGAATAGCTTAGAGGGTGATGACTGTTTAGGAAGTTATTGCGGTGTGTTCCTGTTTGCATGAGTCATGTCTTACCTACAGCATTCGGAGGGCAGCGGACAGCTGCAGTGTCCCCTGCAGGTGTTTTCTTCCAAACTACGTTAGAGAAATTCTCCTCATCACAGATCTCATGCGGCTCTGCATAAAACCGAAGAAGTCATAAAATATGAAAAAACCTGACCAATGCCACAAAATGTGAACAAAGAAACAAGTAAGGTACAGAATTAAAACATAATTCTTGTTAAGTCTATAAATAGGGGTAAGTGATATAACCAAAAGAGTAACTGTATTTTACGATAATGGTATATATCATAATATATAGTTATTTTTGCTGCAAATAAGGTTATTACAATGGCAACATTTTTGATGCCATTAAAATGATAATTTTTTTAATTATGTCAATGCCATAACAAAAACCAATACTAGCCTAACTAATACAAGTTAGGGTTGGGCGATGTCTACCAAATTGGCATCAGACGATGTCTACAGGGTTAGGGGTGTGCCTGAAGCGTGAATCCGTATTCAGAAAGGCACGAAAAAAAAAAAGTGTTCTATGGAGCCACTAAAGGGAAATGGTTAGTCGCTTGCTAGCGGTAGCCTGTTACATTACATTTCCTTTCCAAAAACGGAATTGGGATACAGCGGATTGCGGAAAAGGGAGTGGGGGGAAGGAATCACGATGCCGGCTCAATCTATCAATCATCTATCGGCCCAACCCTAATACAAGTAAAAGGTTCTCAAGCCTACTGAAGACATGAAGCAGGAATATTAGGCTGCTGTCACTTTAAGACCTAATACATGGGCCTAATGTTCTAACTTAAGACAGGCATTTTGACATAACTTTGTGAATATTTGACTGTTTGAGTGAAATAAACTGCAAAAATAACTCCGTACTCATGCTGTGTGACAGGCAGCAAAATAAGTTGCGAAAGACGTCTCAATTAAATACATGCGCACTGTTCTGACAGACCGTTTTAATTAAACTGTCTCTCAGAAATAAAACCATCTATCAGAACAGTGTGCAAGTACTGAATTGAGACCTCTTTCACATATTACTGTGTTATAGTGGTTTAAAATCTCTCCAAAGTTTAAAGTGTCAAAATGTAAAAACGCATGAAAAGGATAAAAACATGCAACACTGCCGTGATAGAGATGGTAATCAAAAATGTATACCAGTTTTAAAATTTCAACCAGTTTACTGTGTCTACCAGTATATCGGTCACCCCTAGCAGAGAATGAGTTTTGGCTACATACATGTTATTGTCTCACCTGGACATCTCTTCTCATTGCAACGTCTAACTTCCTCTCTGTCCCCTGGGCATGGCTCCCCCCCAAAAAAGGGACCATAACACACCCTCTGTCTTTGCTGGCTTCCTCCACCACATGTCTTGGTACAACCAGCCCAAGAGCTCCAGAGCTGCCATTGGCCATCCACAGGACACTCTCGGAGGAAGCAGTCTCTTGTCTGACGCCACTCACCCTGACACTCCAGACCCCCATACGAGGGCCCGTTACACTCCCGAGTGCGCTGCATTGTTCCATTTGAACAGGACGAGGAACAGTAACTCCAGCTGGACCACTCATTCCATACACCATCCACTTCAAGGTAAAAGACAAAGTTTCTGAGAATTTTTTAAATGTGAGAATAGAGGATACAAAGCAACAGTAGGTTAACAAAAGAGAGGAACTTAAAGTGGAGCATGATAAGGGGACATTATTGAAAGATATATTGCAGGAGAAAGAGAGAGGAGCTTTGGGTTGCCAAACTCTAGTCAAGTCCACAGTGATTTAAAGCCTCACTTAATCACCATCATTTGCTGTGAACTTCACAATGGTTCCTTTCAATCTCTTTCTCTACAGTGTCTCACATTAGGCTTTAATTGTGCTGCTTGATGAAAGTCATTAAATCTGTATGAGACAGTCTGTATTTAAAGACCCAAAGATCACCTGGGCATACAGCAATGTTGCAGAATTTGGTCTGTTTCTCTGGACCATCGCAGGGGTTTCCTCCAAACTGCGGCTCTTTGCAGGAGCGAGTGCGGTCCCTGTACCCACGGCCGCACGTTGAAGAACACAAGCTCCATGGAGTCCACTCATCCCACGACCCGTGCACTGTAATCAGAGCGGCTAGGGCATGATTTATAGAGAGAAAAACGCACCTCGACAACACACAAACACACACGCACTAGGGTGAAACTAAAGAGGGGTTCACACTGACAACGATCTGAATTAATTTTATTTTCAACGGGAGTTGCCGATTTCCTGATGGCATAAGTAACTTTTTGGGATGATATAAAGTTGAGAAAAGTTTAATGAGAGGCGACATAATGGGAAGACTACCAATAGGAGTGAAGGCATTGGAGCACATTGAGCAGTATGCATTGGTCATTGTTGATCTTGTTCATGATATGATGTATTGCTGCAATTTTATGAACATTTTCCACTCCATTTTTAGCAGCAAGAAAACTGATTCCCTGTCCAAACAGAAGAACATCTTATTTTTACCTGCAATACATCATATTTGTGATCAGATGTTCAGAACCTATAGCCATTTACATAGCCCACAAATAATGTTACGACAGGAACGCCTACTAGGAAAGACTCTATGATGCCCAAGACGGTTCACTCGTATTGCTATAAATTGGAAAAACTGCAACACACAATATGGTGGCTCTAGTAATAGGAGTGACGCCATCGAAATAAAAGAGTTATTAGGCATTTTGCACTGCAGCTATTGTTAGACACTCCGCTTCCCACAGAAACCAGACCTGAGACTCGTGCTTAGGACTGCGCATGTGCATTGGCATTGATCAACCAGAAATTTTTTGATCAACCAGTCAACCAGTTTTTGAGATTTCAGATTTTCCCCATTCGATTAGATCTTGCACGCCAGGATCCACATTGCAAATATAGCCGCCATGTGAACTGACTTTTGTTCCAAGAGGCTTTGCTACTAGCTACCAACAATACAGCAAAAACAGCTGTCAGTGTGAACAGAGATCTATAGGTAGTGTAAAACACAAATTTTGGCTGCAAGTTCTGAATGTTAGAGAGCAAATCATTCTTTTTTCTGCATAAAGTGATTAGCACGTAATATAACATTGAGCTTGGCAAGACACGTTGTTATCTAGGTAACACTTTTGTCTAGCCCCCTGAGATGCTGAAATGGTAGAATGAAAAGAGATTGAGAGAGAGACCATCCTACATGCAGTGGGAACTATAGGGAATTTGCTGACAACGCTGCACTTAAACCCATTATCATCTTACCACGGCTCTCCAGCATCCAGGGTTGAGGGGGGAGCAGCCATACATGGAAGCCCAGGAAGAGTTAGCCTCAGGTGGGCCGCGGCTGGAGGGTGAGTGGGCAAAGCTAATGGACCTGAGTGAAGGTGGGACGGGTGACGGGAAGTGGATAAGGAAGATGGTGAGGGTGAGGAGAGGCCTGAGGTGGGCTGTGCTTACCTGGACACACAACAGTGTTATTGCAGGGTCTCTGTTCACGCAGCGGCCCGCTGCACTGCGTGCTGTACGGCACCGAGATGCATAGGCGTGTGCGGCTCTGCCAGCCCTCACCGCACGTGGTCGAACACACGCTCCACGCAGACCACTCCCCACCCGACGGAGGATCCACTGAGAGGGACGGGGGGAAGTGGGGATGGGATGGGGTAGGGTAGGGAGCAGAGGAAAGGGTAGGAAAAGGGCCAAAACTAATTAGCATGCGGGATTAGCCACCTTATTTAACAGGGGAAGATCGTTTCATCATTGACTCCATATCCTCAGCATTTACCCATAATAGAAGTTCATGCTTTCATTTTTGGGATATGTAAGTCAGCCTTCTCTACGAGGATTTCACAAGGCTACCCAATAGATCAGACTTTACTATCTGAGCAACTAGGAAAGCCAAGGAATCATGTGTAATCCGGAAGGAATGGGAACATATTAAATGTCCAATAGGAAGCACTTGGTTGTCTTGACAGTCCAATAGATAATATGGGCTGACATGGCTGTCCAATAGAAAAGAGTTAGACTATCATTACCATCAAGTGGAACGAAATGGAGAATCAAGAGTGTCCAATAAAATTATATTGAATGTCAAAATGAAACGTGATAAGGAGGGAATGATTTCACTTCATTCTGACAACATTAGGGGCAATAAACGTTTTAGTTTTCATACTAAAACCCTGCATACGCATATTTAATAATATGCATATACATGAGCATTTTATTTAATCTCTGAAACAATCAGTACACAACTTGTTTGTGTACCATTTACTTTAGCATTTTGCATAAAAATGTGTACATATTATTAATGCTGCTTCCGAAAGTAACATAAACATATACTTTCTGATTCATAGAAAAACAGATTTTTTCTTTTTGATGTACAACTTAAATATGAAGCCACAGCCTCTATTTATTGATTCATTGTGATTTCTGATTTGTAACACATTGGAATGAAATAGCGGAAATTTGTATTTATTTTGAAGTGACAGGCTCATATCGGTGTAACTGTAAAAATGAAAGACAAATTCATGCAGTGCTCACAAAGAAAAGACAAAATACTAGGGATTACATCATATTAGTCCAATATGTCTTTTATATTGAAGCATGCAAATCATACGTCACCACCCCCAAGCAAGGTGTGCCTTGTTCTCGTTTGTTTCATAATAAGAGGTTACGACCCTTTCAAAATACTTTTAACTTCCTTGTAAGCAATGGTGTCCATGATTCATGGATATCTCGATGTTCCTCCATGAACCATGCCATAATACACATGACAAAGACAAACAAAACATAAATCACACTGACAGGAGCATAAAAAAACAAGGCCATAGCCACATACGCATCCAGTCTACTCCCCTGTATGTGGACTAGTGAGTGAAACGCTTGCAAGTGTGTGTATGTGTGTGTGTGACCCCAAGCTGCAGAGGAGGCTGATGCCACCTGTCTTCTTACCTGTTTGGGAAGACTGCTGTCCGCTGCGGGTCTTATCAGAGTCCTCTCGTTTACGGCTGTCCACCGAGCGCAGGGATTGGCTACGAGTGCCAAGTCGGCCTCTGCCTGCAGGATGGGGTGGGGTTAGCAACTACAGTCGAATTCTGATCGGGCAGTGCTGTGCGACCTGAACATCTAGACCAGCATCAGCCATGCTTGGGATTTTGTGTGAAGTTACATAGCTGAGAAGAAGTGAACCTGTGTTTGGTTTGATACTACTCTCCATGCGAACGCGAGACTCTGTGAGAGTTTGGACACTTCTAGGCTTGCGTGACCTCGAAACGTGTGCTTTGAACACCAACAAATGGCAGTAAGTGTACAGAAAGAGCGAGCAAGATGGAGCGAGCAGTGGATGGCAGATGAAAAATAAGCAGACCATGCGGAACGGAGACACAGACAATCGAGGTGAAGACATCTGCAGCCGATGGCCTTGACCATGGAGTGGGTTATTTACTCATGGCCTCCATCCAAACTGAGTGAATATCTACTCACTACAGTCACATTCAAACTGACTTGGTCAGTGACGCCCTTACCAAGCATGGCCTCTTGCATTTCCTTGTATTTCACTGGACTTAAACCCTTGCCTTTAGAGGAATACTGCCTGTAGCCTATGGGTCCAATGAAAAGCACACAAAAACGCTCATTCTATCATCAGTCTAGCATTTTATTATTGTTATTGCTCTATATTGTGTCACACAGGAAGCAGAACATCTTTTTTAACAGTGAAATGTAAAGAATGTAAAAAAATGAGGTGTCAGATAGTGATAGAGAGAGAAAGCTAGAGAAGAAGTGGATGTACGAACAGTCACGTGCAACGTGCATGAGCCTACAATGCAACTTACCGGTGCACGGCTGAGAGTTGCAGGGACGACCTTCCTCTAGAACACCCTCGCACAGGTATGCCTCCTCAGGTGGTGATTGACAGGTGCGTGTGCGCGTCTGGACTCCGCCTCCACATTCACTGCTGCACTCCGCCCAGTTGCCCCATCCACTCCAGCCACCTGTATTAAACCCACACACAGACACGAGCACAGTCCATGTGAGCGTAATTCCCAAGAAAAAGCCATTTATTAATACATTTTTTGTGACACAAATTAAATTTCCATCCCTGCTAAGCAATAATGTTCTGATTTCATAATCCATTATGATGGCACTAAGATGTAGAAATGGACCCATAAATACCAGAAGGATATGAGTCCCTGTGTTCTGCTCCCTCATGAATGTTTAATAGCAGACATTGCTGCCTGTCTGATCCCGGAGGCCCCGACAAATATGTAGTAATCTGCATGAATAGAACATGAAGCTGGACCATGTCCAGCTGCAGACATTTTTAATTACTCACAAATCAATTGTACAGGGGAGGGTATGTAATTCTACACTCAGTGCCGCTCTACCCGGAAAATGAGAACTGAAATGAAAGTGAGAAAGAATCAGATACAGCCTATATTTAAAATGTCCATCAAAAGATTTTAGCATATATTACATGAGGATGGTCCATGCAGACAATGTAAAGATCAGTTAATGGAGCCAATATTAGCAACATGTCAGAGATTATAATAAAAGAAGAAATCTCAACAGACCGGTTAATATAGAAGAAAAAAATGTCAAGTGGTTTATGTATCACCAAAAATAAAATATTTCCTTAAACCGCATCAGTTTTTTAGAAGGTGAAAATAAATGTCAAATACTATGTTGTCTTTCTTTTCTTTTCTTTTCTTTTCTTTTGAATATCATTTATTACGAATATCATTACATTTATAACATTTTAAACAAATTACAATAAATGCATTTCAAAGGTTTGGTAAGAGTTATAGCCTTTGTAGTATTTATTTAAAGAATATTTATTGCATGTATACACTAAAAAAAGGTGTAGAATTTACTTTTCACTACAATTTTCACTCAGAAAATTCTAGTAATTGCTAGTAAATTTCACAAATATTTATGAAAAAATATGAGTAACACATTGAATTAAACATGAAATTTTCAAGTAAATTGTACTTCACAACATTTTTGTTTTATTTACAACTATGAAAAATCCCTTTTAAAGTGTATGGTTTATATTTTATTAAGATTTTTTTAAAGTAGCAGACAAAAGTAGATGACACACACATACAATTTAATTTAAACACCAAACAATTTTAATTCAGAAATTGAAAGCATGATCATTACAAGTGTAATAATATGTATGAATTATATATTTAATGTATTTCTGAATATCTTAATAAACCCAGAGAAAAAGAACATGGGTGTCACGCCATTGACCCTAATATCAACTGAACCCTTCCGACCGTTACATTCGAAGCATCCCTCATGCAAAGCCCGAGTTAATACATTACGCCACATAAAGGCCAGATATAAAAACTATTTATACCTTTTCTGCAGCACTGATACAAATCTGCTGGCAAGCGAGTGCTGAAAAGCAGAATCAATATCTATTTGTTTGAACCGGATGAGCGATTAATGGCAAATTGTTTACTTGGGGTGCTGAGATTGGCTTTGCCGCATGTTGCGCGAGACACATTCACTTGATAAAACATAACGGATTCTAATCTTCAATGCCTCGGCCTTGAATATACAATCAAATGTCCTCCTTGAACAGCAAGTGACAATCGCATGCAAAATGAACCGGGACGGCTCTCAGCGTGCTGCCCTGATTAATCCCATCCACCAATCACGCTTCAAGTCAGATGGCTTCATCAACCAATCGCACATGGCATAAACAGCATGCACAGCCAATCCCTGCTCCACGGGGGACCATAAGCGGTAAAAATCAGTCTTAAAGGGATAGTTCACCCAAACATGAAAATTCTGTCCTTAAATCTAGCGTAGCGTTAGTTCTGACAGGTCACGTTAGTCAAGCTCGCATCAGCTGACTCTCAGCTGATTCCCATCAACCTATGGGAATACGACACCTACACTGTAAAAAATGACCGTGAATTTAACGGTAAAAGACTGTAAAAATGCTACAGTAAAAACCTGTTAAATGGTTAACGGTAAATTCCCCTACTATATACGGTGAAAAAATGTATTGGACATTACATGTATTGGACATTAATTTTACGCTAGTATACCGTTTTTGGAAGTGAAAAAGACCATATAATTTACAGTGAATAACCGTAAATTAACACTCGCAGAATTCCCTGCGTTACATTTCAAATTTGATGTTTTTTTTTGTTGAAATAACTATGTTTCTTCTTATTTTTTTCTTATCAGTTTTGTATATTAGGGTTGTGTGTTTCACCTAATGTTGTTAAATGAATGTTTACTGCATTAGTTCAGTTTCATGTGTGTGTTACCATGATGGTGTTTAGTGTTTGTGTGAATGACACTGTGCACCATCGATATGTTATTATTTAAAAGCTGCTTGTGATGGGCTTTGGTTCATCATGTGACTCTCATCACCACCTGCATTTGGTGGTTATCAGTGTATTACAAAGGTACAAAACAGATTTCAGTACTTCAATAGGTTGGTATATTAACATTATATCAGTTAATTAAATTATGGTATTTACAGTGTATCTAAGCATTCATATATAAGGTCCCTCAGTATTATCAGCAGTTTTCGCATTGCTCAATAGCTAATTACTCTCCTCCATCCCCAGCTCCTCCTCTGTCAATCAGGATTCAGCCTTCTGATTATCCTTTGAATCAGACTAATTCTAAAATGTGTACATAAAATTATTGAACTTTAACGATATCTGCAATACATTTATATTGGTTCTGTTCTGTTTACCCTGGGGGGTTATCGCTGCTCTCCCTGATCTTGCCCAGAACAGAACCATACCGCCAATCCAAACTGTATGCTAATTGTCAATCATCTTTGACGATAGTGGTCCTGACAGAATTACTCACCCTCATGTCGTTCCAAACCAGTAAGACCTCCGCTCATCTTCGGAACACAAATTAAGATATTTTTGATGCATTCTGACAGCTCTCTGACTCTCCCATAGACAGCAAGGGTACTACCACGATCAACGTCCAGAAACATAGTAAGGAGTGAGGCGTGAGGCGGAGGAGACGAATTGTTGAATAAAGTCTTTTTTTTTTTTCTTTTGCGCACAAAACCCTTTACAGTTGAACCCCTGATGTCACATGGATTATTTTACCGATCTCCTTGCTACGTTTCTGGACGTTGATCGTGGTAGTACCCTTGCTGTCTATGGGAGGGTCAGAGAGCTGTCAGAATGCATCAAAAATATCTTAATTTGTGTTCCGAAGATGAACGGAGGTCTTACGGGTTTGGAATGACATGAGGGTGAGTAATTAATGACAGAATTTCCATTTTTAGGTGAACTAACCCTTTAAATAAGCTTCTCAGCTTCTGTGCTGAATAACTTCAACCTTATTTAAAGCAAATGCAAGTAAGGAACAGTGAAATGAGCAGGGTGAGAATATTCGTAAGGCAAAAATCTTTAGAAAAGCGAATAAGAATAAAAAAAAGTCCAGATAGGAAAAAATAATACTCCATTTGGAGATAAGATTTTCTCTCTCTGTGAAAAACGATGGGAGAGTATGACCTTTTTTTTTGGCTCAATAATCACGGGCTGAAGGAGAAAAGGGGGGGGGGCTGAATAATATAGTGTTTTCTTTCTCTGTCCCCAAGGACATTTTATTATGCTTTCAATAATTTAGTGTGCTTCTCTTGTTCAGTGGTTGCTCCCTTACACCCAGACTCTTTGCAGCAGACGCTATATCATCTTTAAACTCTCATATTCGTCCTCTGCTCGAATGTTTCTTTCTCTCCATCAGCCCTTCCTCTATCATTCTGTCTTTTCGCCCGTTTTTCAGATTGCAGCTGCAGCACGCACCTGCTTTTCAAAGGATGAGTGTGTGGATATACATCATTCTGCCCATTAGCAAATATCATCTTGGCTAACGAAAACCTCAAAGTGACCTTCACTTTCCCTCAATGGTGAACAGAAGGTCTAATAACGGCTCAAGTGACAGAGATCTGAATTCATCAATACAAGATCTCACCATAATCTCACCCGCTACAGCCCACTGCGTATCTCCTACGAAACCAAGGTCAGTCAGTACATCTAAATGACACCCTACATTCGACTTCATGCATTGTTTTCTGGTTGCTTACGTGCATCAAAACACAAGACTGTGGGTCAGTGATGGAAAGCGAAACATGGGAAGTGCTGACACCCAGAGGATGCTACAAGTCATTGGCATCCATGTCGGCAACAAAAGAGCGTGCAAGCAAAATAAGAGAGGGTTTGAATTAAAAAAAAAAATATATATATATATATATATATATATATATTATACACAGTACACACACATATATAAACAAAAACTTGTATTTTGGATGCGATTAATCGTGATTAATCGTTTGACAGCACTACAAAAATCGTTTTAGCATCTTAAAAATCGCTTGTTGCATTTCTCTGTTGCATGTCTCTCTGGTAAGTTGCTCTGGATAAAGTGTCTGCTTAATGAATAAATGTAAATATAGGCCTAAATGTTCATTTTGAACGAATCTTTAATGTGACTCGGGAAGAACGAGTT